CGCTGAACAGACTGATTATGCCAGACGTAAAACGCGAAGGCTGATAGGATGCATAACACGCAATTTCTTTTGTTGTGAAACTAGGGTTTTATTATACAAAGTATGTGTCCGACCTATCTTAGAATACTGCCCGTTTATTCTTAGCGGACTAAGACAAAATGACAAGCTTAAATTAGAGGGAGTGCAACGGCAGTTTACCTCAAGAACTCTTGGTTTAGAAAGTGGTCTGGAATACCATGAGCGATGCGTAAGACTAAGATTAGAACCCCTCTGGAAAAGACGCCTTAAGCTAAACCTAATCTTTTACTATAAGCTAACTAATCTTCTCTTGCATTCCTCCGAGCCAATAACTAAACCTACCGCTGTCATCAGTTACAATCTTAGAAATCATCACAACCTAGCTGCTATGGAGCACTGTCAGACTTACGTGCGGTACAACTTCTTCTTAAATAAGTTTTCAGTCATTTGGAATAGACTACCAGCTAATGTGCGCGATGCAAACACACTTCCAGTGTTCATCTCCTCAGTCACCAGACTGCTCAAAGATGACAATGCACTTTACGTCTGACTCTTACACCTCTTTTTCACCCTACATAGATATTTTAAGTTGTTTAAACGTGTAGTTACAACAAACTACAATTATAAATTTTAATATTATTGGAACTAGATGATTAACATTTCTACACAGGACAGTAATATTAGTTCACACATAATATAAAAGTTAGCATAACGGGACTAGTTAGTTTGTGTACCAAAATAACCACAGTTACTAAACAGAATATATATGTATATATTTATTAATCACTCCTTAAGGACTCCCGTTGCTTTCTTTTGCGTTGCTGTTGTTTGTCTTCTTTTTTCTCTCACCATTTCAGCTTCCATTTGACTTTTTGAATGAGAATGAATAATGTGGATATTTGACCATTTACAATGACAAATGATCTGCAAACATTATTGGTCCCGTATCTTTCAGTTGCCTGGTTAATAACGAATTAACTTTCTCCACGACGCAACCTGGATTACATTTGTGGAATATACTCTTATACCAATGGAAAAGTATCAATTTGTAATACAACGTCACGATTGTAGCTTATAACATAACTGATCGTATCTGTAAAAATAGCTTCCTTATTACCCAATTTGGATATAAATCAAATCAAAAATAAGATTCGGATTTGTACACACCCAAGTTATATTGAGGAATTACTTCAAGCTTTATTTTTTCCCAAGTATTTTTAATCCATCCAAAACTTACTTGGGTTTTTTTGTTAATGCGAAGTCAATATTCCTATATTTCATGATGTGCTCCATTGAATGACTGGTTATCATATTGTTCCCACAGACCTAAAAAAATGGCATGCATTTTCATGTAAATTTATATGTTTATATGAGAATATACATTATTATTATTAAAACAAAAACGCCAGCAACCATGTAACTTAACCATAAACCGAATTTATGAAATTTAAATAATGCTTATCCATCCCTGTATATTTGGTGTGTCCTACACAGGTAGGAAATAATGTGTACTTTATTATAACATTATTATTAATTATGATTGCTAATCGTATATGTAATTTATCATATTGATGATGCCTGTAAACTGGCGTCTCTCATGTACAAAATGAGAATATACTATTATTATTATCTGATGATAGGTGGGCTACACGCTGATCAACTACACTGACTGTCTCACAAGTATGCACACCTTCTGGAACTGCATCTGCGTTCAATTCTACTTCACGTTGTAGTTGTACAGAACCTTTATTCAACTTAGCAGTAGTAGGCATTCCCCTCATTTCATCATGATCAACCAAAGACAAATGTGAAGTATCATGATCATTATCATGAATATTCAATTTACCATCATCCGTCTGGTCGACTTCATCATTTTCAAACTCTTTAATAACAGAAGTAGACGATTTTGGTTCCTCCTCACAAATCATTAAAGGTTTTATATCTTCACTCTGACTAGTTATACTTTGTAAACTTGTGGAGTCAGAACTCCACTCTGAAGCAGTAACTCTATTCTGTGACACTCTATTCAACAATGGCTTACCAGTTGCAACTACAGACTTCTTGACCGCACCGTTATCGTCACACAATTTGGAGTAAGGCCGGGATTTCACATTTAGCTTATCACTGAACTTGCTCAATGGTTCACAGTTCACCCTTTTATGCACCTCTTGCACACGTGTAAAACAAAGCCGTGTTTGTCTTGCATCTTGTAACTTATCTATTGAGGATGTACTACGAAACCTGTTACACTCACTAGGTCTATATGCATTACTAGACATCATGGAGCCTTCTCGATATCCACCTCTCTGAGGCCTACTCGTCATCAATGATTGCATTTTGCTCTCAGACTGCTCTATTCTAGGGGTGAGGTGTAATAGACTGGCAAACTTGCTCATAGATTGATTGACGCTATCTTTTACCAGTTTCAGGATATCATCAAACCTTGGCTCGATACCCTCATCCTCCATACGGGAGCTTCTCTTCACCCACTTCCTTTGCAGTCGAGTAGGTAGGCGTCTTGCTATTACTTCTAGTATAAAACTCGAGTTGAGGTCACTCATGCGATTCATCGAAATCATTCCATTCTTGTAAATTAGCAAATTATTCAAAAACTCAGTGAGTGCCTGGGAGTCATCCTGTAATTGACCACCATTACTCTTAACAGCCTCGAATAGTTTCCCTGCAATCATTGAAGGTCTTCCAAACCTTTGACGTAATATGCTCATAGCCTCGTAGTAGCCCTCTTTTGGCTTCATAAACTTACAGCACTGTATGGCTCTTGCAGCATCTCCAGTGCAATGCCTCATCAAATACATTAACTTCATTTCATCAGTTAATAAAAAACCACTCAACATGATCTCAAACTCCTTTACAAACTGTGAATAATCAGCTGAGTTTCCGTGGAAACAACGTGGTTCAAATTTAGGGAGTTTGATGTTCCTATTATCCCTGAACGGTGAAACAGTAACATCAACCATGTCATGTTTAGCATCAGACACATCGTTACAATTAACATACAAGTCAACATGACTTACTTTCCTGTTTGCATCCAAGACACTCTGTCCCTTCTTTGACCCAGGCATTGTTGAACTTGACCAAATTCCAATAAAGTTCCAGATATTGCTTGTTCAAAGAGAACTTGACCGGCACCAGGAAAGATGAACGGCGACTATCCAAACTGTCACCAACTGTTTCAATCCGCCAGAGTCTGTTTCTATCGTCAGAAACTGTCAGCCACGTCTCATAAACTGTCAGCCACGTCTCATAAACCGTTAATGCCCAGCTCTTGCTACGCTCGGGCCCACGCTGTTCCTTGAAGTTTTCAGAAACGCTTAGTAATAACGGACGAAAAATCCATAAGACCGATTGGCCACTCGAGAATTCTTTATTGTTACACCAACATATAAAAATAATGTTTTTACTAGGGTCTGTGAACAAATATTACAATAACAAATCACAAAATTACTTCTGATAATTTACTGCTGACTTCTTTCTGAACAGCGACCGATGAGACGATGACTGTCGTATTGATGCCTCCGCGAAAATTGGGGAAGTTGGTTTGAGCAAACAACCACGAATTGATCGTTCAATCTTCAACTACATTGACGAACGTGCTGCCCTCTCGATCGAACTGCTCTGCGCTTCTTTACGCTGACGACGTAAAGATTCGGAGAACAACAAACTCATCAGAAGACTCAGACAGATTTCAGGCTGACGCGAAATTTCTGGGAGACTGAGCTCTGGCTGACGAAATGCCTTTCAACCTATAGAAGTGCAAAATAGTGCAGCTTCATTCCGGCAGGTCACACAGTGTAAATTACACCCTTGGTGACCAGAACTTGAGTTGTGTTCCATCAGAGCGTGATCTAGGTCTTATTCTAACAGAAAAGCTTGAAACCAGTGGAAATTACATGAGGGACGTCGCCAAAGCCTACGCAACTTTACACTTTATGCATAGGCAGCTGGGAGCTCTTACTCCCGAACTGTTCTTAAGGTTATATAAGACACGTGTGAGACCACACCTTGAGGTGCATAATATCATTGCTTCTCCGCTACTCAAAAGGGATGCTAACATTCTAGAAAGTGTCCAGAGACGAGCGACAAAATGAGTGATCGGCCTCCGCAACAAATCATATGAGGAACGACTAAAGAAATTAGGACTTTTCACACTTAGTTACCGTAGGCACAGGGGAGACCTCATCACCGTCTACAAGATCTCAAATGACGAGGCCCACCCAAATAAAAGCATTCTGCCGTTAAGCGATTATAGGCTTCCACGAGGTAACCCGCTTAGGATAGTACACCAGAGACCAAAGACTCGAGTCTGTTCACATTTCTTTTCGCTTCGAGTTTGACGTCTCTGGAACGCTTTACCAGCGGCCGTGACTACAGCGGAAGCTGGACAATCATGCAGAAATGCAAGGTTTGTGTCTCAATGGCTTATCCTCATAAAACTTAAAACTACACTGTCAATGGATAAGCATACAAACTAAATCCCACGACCTGTTCCGCCTTCTCTCACTGTACCGACTACTCTATCTTTTCCTTAGGTCACCTTTATTATTTCACTTATCTCAACCTGTATTACCTACACTACAACCTATTATTATTGCTATTATGCTTCTATGACTACAACATATGACCAACGGGAGTTAGGTCAAACTCCGTTCACGGCAGCAACACAGTCCTAAAATACTGCATACGACAAACCACATCTTGACCAATTCCCGCACCACTCCTCTTGGAGTCTATCAGAGCTAAAGCAGTCAAGTGGCGGGAGTTACTACGCAGAAGTTCACTGAAGATCTGAAACCTCTACCTTACAATCAAGAAGAGAGCTCAAAGAAACCAGTGGTTTATACTAGCTCGTAGTCAGGACATTGGATATTGGATGGAGGTAGGTTTGAAATTTTACCTTGAGACAAATGTTAGGAAACAAAAGGTAGAGACTATCTACATACCTCGCCGCTCATAAAATTATCATGTTATTGTCGCCCATTGGGTATAACGTTTTAAGGAATGTCAAGATAAAATCAGTCTACCATTCTTTTGGGGTTTTGATTGGATTGTGCTTTGATGTATACTATGCTACTCGACACAGTGTAGAAAATGCTGTATGTTGTTCATATTCAGGTGAGTTGTTACATAAATTCTCAATTTCAAATTCGCAGTCCTGTTTGCGGCTGTCGGATTATACGTTGACATTCAGCTGCTTAGGGGACATTGGAGAGTTTGGCCTTGTATCCTTCGACGTTATATGTGGTTGGGGATCGCCGGGTCAATTCTTTCAGCTTTAATGCTATGTGCAAGTTTATATTACGAAATAAGTTATAGCAGTAAGTTGACCAATTGACTAATGCCCCTTAGAAACACCTTCAATCCATTCTGTTGTATGGTCACTCTTGTCCCTACATTGGGCCGTAATCATAACGTGTGCATCCAAGAAGTATCATGTTTTATTAACAGATGTGTATACATTGTCAAAAAGTTTAAGATAATACCAGGCATAAATCCTGGTAAACTGTTATTATGATATGTGATAATGCTCAATTAATATATCCAGTTGTACATACGAGATAATGTGCACTTGGATACTTTACTTTCTAATTACGTCATGAAGTGATGGATGTATATCTTTGTTACTATAAACCCAGATTTTGCTTTTTTTATTACTTTGAATCGACCCAAAAGATAAATTTTACAACAATGTTAACAAACCTTGATTTTTCCTTGTTTTTTCCTGTTATCTAAGAATAAACTACTTCAGGTAATGATAACTGTAAAGTTTAGGGTTGTTAGTGTCTCATCACAGTATATTAGTATTAGTGGTGACACAAACAAACGACTTTAAGTTAAAACTTCAAAAACGTTGGCCAAAAATCTTAGACCGAGTCATAGAACTCATAGATTGGTGTCTGTGTGGATTGACTACTTTTATACTTTCCCGGACCTATCCAGCTTCAGCAGCTCTTGTTGTTTTGGGGTATCGTAACGCAGTATGTATAACATGCTCCCTACCCGCCTTACTCAATGAATTTCTGTCAGGTTGTTCAGTGTAACATTTTCCTTACCTAATACTATGCCTATTCTTAAGGTGGCTTATCCAGCAATTCACTCTGACGTGAAAGGTGAAGAGCAAAAATTTGTCAAGAGTCTGTGATCTCATCATTTCCACCTTCTCCAGTCTCGAAATGTGTAAATTTTTGAAACACTACCTACGAGAGTATTGAGAAGGCACAAAAATAAACAGTTGAGAATATTTTTAGAAGCATTTGCCCATCTGTCTGGATGATCCTACTACTGTTTATGGTACCGACAACTAGTGGAGATAGACTATTGCTGGTCGTAATTTGGGATGTGCCTTCATCGTATCGCTCAATCCCTGGTAGGACTCTTAGGACATGTTAAAAAACGAATTTTAAGACATATCCATTTTATCACTGCTCTAGAGAAGTAAGAGTAAGTGATACACATATCACCTGATTTGGAACCACTATTTGGAAATGTCTTGATCACATAAACGATTTGCCTTGTTAGCGGATATATGCAGTATGACAACTTGGATGTTAAAACACGAACCTTGCGGGTAGAATAACTCCTCCTGTGTACTTTTGATGTCTTTTCCACATTTATTGGCGGCAAAGCTACATAGGCATGGGATTACCGCTGAGCCTATTACTTGCAGATTATTTTGTGAGGAGTTTGGCAAACGGTCCATTCAAATCAACGACTGATTGTTTTCTGCTGTACAAAAAGTATTTTGATAGTTATTTTATCATTTGTGACAATCTGACCTAAATGATTATCCACAGGCTATTAACACTTGGCACTCGATCACCAAATTTACTGTTGCGGTTAGAGTGGGTTAGACAATTTCTGAGTGTCTGGTCAACAAAGAAGCCTGGAGGAACTTTGGTGTGATCAATGTATACAGAGTCCATGAGGAATGATCAACTGGCAAACTTTTTTAGTTTTTGTGTCTGTATTTCTGAAAAGTAATCCCTTTCAAAGAATTTGTAGCTCAGAGTTGTTAGGTGCGGTGACATGTTTTTTGAGGAAGAAGCTATTTCTAAATGAATATCCTGACGGCTCATGCAGAAAGAAATAGAAACGAACAAGAAGAATCCCACTTTCATGCCAAAGAAGATTTTATGTATGTATGTAAGCTTAAAAAGCGACGCTCTAAAAGATGAGAATATAAAACGCACTGAGGTGACCATTCTTAGACTCAAAATCAAGACTGCATTTCTTCAGCTACTTATTTTTTTCTAATAACTCAAAAGATAACCGTAGCATTTGGCAACTTTCATGTGTATCTGTCAATTCACTTATTCCTGTGGATTGAAACACGTAGGTCTTTCAATGAGAGTTTTATCAGAGTCAGTGGACGTTATCGCGCATTGTTATGAAGAGGTCGGTGTGTGTAAATACGCGGTGTTATAATTGGGCACACTATCATCCACTCTTGAAGGAAAACTCATTCAAAATTATCTACGTTAGTCAAAAGAAACCTCACCAAAGCAGTGTTCTGTCATTCTTTGCGTCCATGTGGCGAACCCTAATTTATGCATACAAGCCGAGTAAAGGGGAGTAACCAAGCCGAATGATCTTAAACAACCAATCAGATTAGTAGTATAACAAGTTACTAATCGTTTAGAAAGATATATGTAAGACGGCTAGATGGAAAGAGATTGATATAAACAGGTTGACGATCCCTAAGATGCTGTAAAATGTCAGTTTTGGCGAACAGTCACTATATCTAATACTACTTCTTGAATCCTTAGTCCAATTGTGATAAGAGATCAAGATGGGGTCAAGAGTGTAGATATAAATTGTTACGGATATATTTGTGCTTTCACTTGTATTTATGTTTTATGATTATTAGCAGCTCTATCCATTGCGGTACCTGCCTCTATGTACTTTCCAGTAACACCTAGTATTTTAAATTTTTTCGTATCATACACTCTATGGTCTAAGCTCACTAATCTTTACGCCTTTTGTTACATCATGATAAATCTCCACTATTTTGAAACTTTGTGATTATGTAAATAATATTCTAAATTGGTTTTTTAGTAGCCACCCTTGACAGACTGAATGTAATTACACACAAAAATATAATTATTTATGTATGATTGCGATTGTGCAGCTAAGCTAATGAATTTGTCTAAAAGAATCTACTGACTGAACTATTTGTTCCTATTTTGCATGTCTAGATGGGTTGTCTTTTGTGTTTTGAATGTATTTTCGTGAATTTTTTCATTCTACTAACCGTACGATTTCTGCATAAGTTACTGGAGAGGTGTGTAAGCGGCACAGTGTAACAAAGTGATAGATCTTAAATGCAGACTTAAGAGATTAAGTATAAATGGTTCCGAAAAGATAGTTATTACGGAGGAAAATACGATTAGAGTTGTATAATTGCGAATCTCTGGTTTCATTCTTCGTGTTCTGATGTCATTCTTTAATTTAAATGACCATAAAGTATGACAATTAAGATTGTCCTCTGATTCATTTCAGTGTATTTATGTTGAGAATTTGTTTTGTTTTTTCGTCATGTAAGTATTGTTACAGTATGTTGCAATTCATAATTTATTTTCGAAATATTAGTTATAGTATAATCTTACTAAATTTATCGGGTAACGAATACTTTTTCAGGATTACTAAAATCAGAATGTAGCTGATGGCATTTATTATCGTATATTTTATGGAATGTAAATTGAAGACATTATCTTAAGCACTTAAGTCCCCACTGTAAGCGATTTAATTGATTTTTGTTAACAGAAGTGAAAATTGTATACAATAACTTCAGGAAAAAACCCAATTAATAACTTTGTGGCTCAAGTGTAATGCAGCCTATCTCCTCGCCTATCAGTGCGTCGGTGGCACAGTGGTTAGGACTCTCGCCGGCCATGCACATGGTCTGGTGTTCGATCCCCTGCCGACGGTCGGCCTGCAAAATTTGGGTTACCGAAATCACTTGCTGAAAATTCCATGCTTGTACAAAAAAAACGGTGTGGAATCAAGCTATAATCAGAAATATAAAAAATAAATAATGCACTATACAATATTTGTAGTTACCACATGACTTTTATATTCTAGAAAAAACACTGCAAAAAGATGGTTTTTTTACAGCAATATCTTGCTGACTGATTTAAATAATTGGAAACAGCTGACTCCTAACTTAAGTGCAAGGGTAATCACATATAAGTAATCTGAACACCTGATAGTTGTTTAACTCGTTTACTGTCTAGCCCTTTATCAATGTACATGGAGCCGAATCAATTTAAAGCCTCAGAATTCTGGCTAGCTACTTGGGTGAGCTGGTAATACCCGATTTAAATACTTTTGAAAACTATCTGATCAGGCTGTCGTGGTGAAGTGATACAGTCGCACGGTTAAACAATACAGTGTAGGCCAGCTGTAGTACTAACTATTTACTAGATGACCGGCAGAATTTAATCAACAAGTTTAACAGTGCAAAAATTAAAAAAAAAATCTATTTCTGAAAGATCGAATTATCAAGTAAGTATAAAAATCTTTTATCAAGGAGAAAGAAAACAAAAATAAATTGAAATATTAGCGTCATCATAAATATTGGATAAGTTAGCTTTAAAATAATAACAGTAATTTGAAACAATTTCGCTCTCTCTGTTATTGAATTTCGATAAATCAATTCATCGAAATAACAAGTTATTCACTCCGATCACTAGACATTTACACAGTCCCTGTAGTCTCTTTGAGGGAAAACTCAAAGGATAAACAATTATAATATAGCGAAGTCCATTGCTTATCATTTGAAAATGAAGAAATAATGAAGAGTACTTTTAATGCATCCGAAATACACGGAAGAATGAAAAGAAATTTATTTTCAAATCTAAATATCAGTGAATTTCATACTACTATTTGTAATGTTTGAGTATGGATGTATACCGGAAAGTTCCAATGTCTGCTGAATACTCCAAATAGCTAGTGGGCGCATATATCCTGGACAACGAAAACGTCCATCAGTCATGTAGGCTTCAGGCGTTTGAAAATGCAATCCATAAAGGTTATAGACTGTATTATAACATTTCTCAGCAATAGCAAATCCTTCATCAATCATCCCCTGAAAACAAAAATAACAGGATATAGATTATTCACAGGTATTATTAAAAGGGCTTAAGTAAATTAGGTTATGAAAAATTTCATCCTCTTTTATAGCTACAAGTAAAACCAATGTTTGCCATTTTTAAAATGACAAAAAGACAGTAAACATATATATTAAAATTCAAGTATTGGTTTGTAGAGATTTGATTGGTGACAAGATTTCATCATGAGCTGACATTAGTTAGAGAACCACTGGAAAACCTGGGGGTACTGGACGGCCGTTTCGTCCTAGTTTGGGACTCCTCATCAGTACGCACCCACTGAGATTCGAACTCAGGACGTTCTGGTTGAAAGGCGAGCTCGTAGACCATTAAGCCACTGGGACCCGTTCCAATGGCCCATGAATTCTAACTTCTGCCAATTCACGACATAGCGTGACCCCTGGTCAATGTATTCGACGAGTATTTGTCCTCACAGCCGACCTGCTGCACCCTACTGGTCACGACTTCTCACTTAAACCCCAGGTAACTACCTACCTGAATATGGCAAGGGTATATATTAAAATATGGATATTTTTGTTGAAGGATCACCCTAAAAGTCTTGTATTTATAACATTTTAGTCCTCAAATTTAGTACAGTTTGAAAGTTCTCTGGAAATGGGTCTTTCCTTCAAGTAGAGTAATGCAAATCTACCAGTTCGGATAGTCTTTTTAAAAGTGAAACTTGAATTCAAATCATACTGAAGATGATGGTGTTAGGATTTAGTGAAAGCACCTCAATGAGAGCATATTTATATTTCAAATTATATATATCCGAGAATTTCATCAAGCTTGAACGACAGACTTTGCACACAAGTGAATCGACTCAGGCTGCTACACCAAAAAAAATAGCGGATAAGAGGAGAAACCAGATGAATAAAAGTGTATGAAAGAGAACAAATAAATAAATGGGTAGAAGTTAGAATTCATGAGCCATTGAATCTGGTCTCAGTGGCTAGATGGTATACGAGCTTGCCTTGTAACTGGGAGGTCCTGGGTTCGAACCCCAGTGGGTGCGTACTGCTGATGATTCTACAGAGTGGAAAACTCAATGCATTAGTTCAAATAAATTATTGGTAGACTTCTGCAAAAGAAACTTCTCGCTTTGTACTGGCACGGTGAATGAAACTGCTGTACAACATAGTGACAAAATCTGCAGCGAAAAGTGTGTGTGTGTATACTCGCCGAATACACAAATCCAGTATAGATGCTTCAAAGTATAATTAGAAGAGAAAGCATACGCCAATGTCTCTATAAATTCACACACTGTTTTAGTGATTATTAATGAAATACATGCTTTACTGACGGCAACAATGCGATTTTATATACACTAACTAGAAGACAAGGTTGAACGCTGTGATCTGAGGTGGCTAGCTTAGGCATTATACGGTTCTATATTTTAACTGATTAAAAATGCCCACTAAAATTTTCGAAAGATTGGATACTGAACAAAGATTACTCCTTTCGATAACTTCATCATCAGGCTCTGCAGTTTTATATACATTATAGGGAATGAATGAATTAGTGTTATGAACAATATTAATACTGTTTAAATAACATCGAATGAATAATATTGATAGATTACAGCTCAATAGCATCAACATAAAATAAGTTGAATGTCAGAAAAATTATAAAAGATAATATTACAAATTCATGAATTTATAGTCTCTACTGAAGGCTAACCAGGGCAGTAGTACGGGTTGGACTTGTTTCTTCTGAAAACAGAGCACTGGTTGTTTGAGGCGAATTGCAATAGCCTCTGCTGCTTGGAGCATCCGGTGCTTCGATGATTTCGGCAATTTATTAGGCACCCAGTAGATTATAGAGAAGGATTCTCCAACGCTGACTGGCTCTGTGGTCGGTTTGAACCAGATGGTTCAATATCGAACAGTTAATGGTTTTCACTACACTTTTACTTAGCCATAGTGGGAGATGTTCTCGAGCGACCAGGAAAAATCAAGTTCCTAGAGCAACGGCCAATATAACTCGCCCCACAAGCACAGTTGCAGTTGAATTGGTAGATACACTTAGAAGTAACCAGCTAGTCTAGGTACTTCATCTTTCAGTTGAGGAATCGCCATCGGTCACGTAGAGAATGAGACATGTAGTTCGCCAGCATTAAAAATTCTTTGATATGATTTTCTTAATTTCTTCGCAATTATCTCACTTGGTATATCGCCCTTGAATTGCAGTTGTATACAAAGAGGCTTCTTCTTTGCGGATAGTGAGTAGTCCTTTTCCGCTTTCCTTGTCATGTGTTTCTTGATAAATTTTTCGGGATAGCTATTTTCGATCAAAGTATCACATACAACGCCTAATTCATCTTCAATTACTTCTTCTGGGCATATAGCTGTAACTCTGTGGCTGAGGGTCTTCACTAAATTTCTTTTGTACTTGACAGGAACGAAGCTGTGAAAATGTGTATATTGTCCTGTCCAAGTGCTTTTTCTATGCAAATTTCTTTTTATACCACCATCTGGTTTTCTTGTAAGGAGGACATCCAGGAAGGCAATTCTGTTTTGGGATTCCCCTTCGCATGTGAATTTCATAGCCGAATGTACTTCATTAAATTCAGTAATTATTGTACTGCTATCCGAATCATTATCACAAAGAATGAAGGTGTCATCTTTATATACCGGCGATAAAATGAGAACTTACTGATAAGGTTGTTCAAAGGTTCATTTTCTAGCTTACTTAGAAAGAAATCAGGCAGAATGGGACCCAATGGGAAGCCCATCGCCACCCCGTCCACTTGCCTGTGTAAAGCGTGCCGTCAAATTTGAAGTTCTCATTCATGGTACAACCTAATAATCATTCTATATTTAATTGAGATTGGTCACAAAAAGACTGAGGGGGATTTCAACAGGCTATCAGTCGCGGGATATCAGGATACTAAGCATTAGTATTGGATATTATGATTATTATTATTATACTTTTTACAATTAGCTTTCATAAAAATAACGATTAAGAAGAAATTTACTGCATCACCCGAATCTACTTTCAAGTTATTGGTAACAATACACATATAATATTTCTACCTCGGGTTTACGTGATAACACTAATACAGATAAGACTTTTGAACTATTTAACTTCCTGGAATTTAATCGATGATAAAAAATCGTTTAAACATATCAATCAATATTCACAAAAGGCATAATATAAATGAAATTCAAATGCTTGCATCTGCTTCACTTACCTCAGCTATCATGAGAGAGGCAAGTGAATAATTAACACCAACCCAAAATTCTTCAGCTTGAACGTTGCTAACATCAAGTTTTGAGCCTGGAAAACAACCGTTTATAGCTCCTAAATCACCATTTTTTACACCATGCCAATTACAATTAGATATTGTTTCTAGACATTTTATTACATGATTTCTAGGTAAAATCTGAAATAAATAATAAAAAAAGCTAAACATAGCATACTTTGCAAAGTGAAATTCGTCTTTTTACGCTAAGTCACTGTTGAACATTGAACAAATTCAACTACACGAAGGTACAAAATACTGGGATAGTAAACACTCGGTATTATCTTATTTCAAACACTTCCTTGAATCAAACTGAAGACTACAATTAGGATATCAAGTAGAAAGAATTGAAAAAACAGCACCATCTATTGAACACTGGTTCTACTGTGGACAATCTGAAAGCGTTCGAAGTAATCAACAGGCAAAAGAAACCTAACTTGTTACATGTTTCGCTGGGGCAATCGTCATCAGATGACTGAAACTAAATCTGTATGAGCAGAAAGAGACAGTTTTAAATCTTGTTTGCACTACCTTGGTGATTTATTTGACATAACAAAGTGTAGAATTCTGTTACGTCATATTTTTCTCCTATCCTATATCATCATCTGTCCTGTTTAGAAAATTCTATTGCTTTTCATCTAAGCATTAATCACTCAAACACTCGTTTTTGCTATTTTAGAAAAACATACTTTCTGCGTCGGTGGCACAGCGGTTAGGACTCTCGCCGACCATGCACATCTTCAGAGGTTCGATTCCCTGCCGACGCACACGCCTGCAAAATTTGGGCTACCGATATCCATGCTGAGAATTCCATACTTGTACCAAAAATACAGTGTGTAATCAAGCTGTAATCAAAAAATTAAAAATTGTTATACTCTTTCTGCTTAGACTTTGTCCATAGCCAAAAGTGGTTCCGGACTCTGTCTTTTTGTCCTCAAGCCTGTTTATCTGATTATCTTGTGAATAGTCAATTCTCCAGACTTTTAATTATCAAGCACTTTACATCATTGAGGGCTTATGTTACTCTTAGTTTAAATCAATTACACCTTGTTATCACGAAAAATATTCAAATCTTCAATGTAATTGATATTTTTGTATTGTTCAGGTTGTAGCCGATTGGGAAAAATCCTCGAAACAATTATTTTTTTAAAAAGAACTCATATTACCTTGGTACATTTATTGTTTTTAATGTTTTCAAATGTTCTAACATAAAACTCTACATAGTTTAGAATATTGGGCCAAGTTACACTTTATGCACCACTAACTACCAGTGGAGTGCGACCGCATCAACGACCTTGAAACGCCCACTGAGAAAGTCAGTCAAACTTGTAAAATAATGTTGTCATCATCAATGAAATATACTCATAGAAGTGTTATGTTATTAAATGGGATATCTGGAAAGTTTCAGCTTAGGTTTGAGAGAGATTAAGTTACGGTTTAAGCTAAGGCCAAGTTAGGGTTAGGTTAATCTAATGAAGGCGACATCAGGATTGGTTCGAGTTAGATTACAGTTAGTTCAGGGATATTTTCACGTTAGGATCAGGTTCATGAAAGATCAGGGTTATTGTTAGGGTTAGAAGACCTGAATAATTGCATGCATAGAATGTGGTTAAATTACTCTGTTCATATAATAATAGAACTTGTTCACTGTGGTAGAGTATAATTCCATTGTGGGTAAAATTTATTTCGATAAAGCCTCACAGTGTTATACAGTAATATTTACTGATGACCACATTTCGAGCACAGTTTATTGCTCAGTAAATATTACTGCATAATATTATGAGGCTTTATCAAAATAAATTTTACCCATAATGGAATTATGCTCTTTTGATACTCCGACCTTAAACTGAGAGCTATTTTTACCACATATGAGAGGTGGGTATCCTCTGTAACACTTTTATACAGTTTTCACGTACATTATTTCATAAATGTATGTATTCCATACACAAAAATTCCTCCTTCACATGATTGGTGCGTTCGAGGTCATTCGATGATTGGTAGTTAGTGGTACTTAAAGTTTAACTTTGTCGAATATTGGTAGTAAAATAAAGAAAAATCAACGGTACCAGCATATCAATATTAAATTTTCACCATATCAGGTGATGAATTTTGTCTCAAAACTTACTAAATTTGGTGGTACTCCAGTTACCCGCGTAAACCAATAACCACTCAATTGACCGGCCATAACGACTTCTTTACTAGATTCATTATTTGTTTGATACGCGTAACACAAACCTTAATAGTTGGGACATACGAAAAAAAAACCTAATGAAGGTTGAACTTTATAAACTTAATAAAAAAACACATTAAACAGAGTAGTAACTTAGGCATTCAATGGTTAATTCAGTATTTTCTATTTTACGTTTATAATTAGTCTTTAGAGTGAATCAAATCTGTAACTATGCTCTACTAAGAATGATTTCCTTTGAAACACTGATCTTCCGTAAGGTTAAGTCTACCTAAATTTAGGTGGATTTGGAAGCGTCAGCGAAGAGAAAAAAATATGTGGCTGTTTGTTGTATTAGCCAATCATCCGCTGTAGATGTGTTACTGATTGACTAATATGGCGAAAATCCTCGCCGTTGTAAATGCTTATATAACATAACAACTAAAAAACTGTGATTTATATCGATCCAGACGAGAAGAGTATAGAGACAGTTAATGCCTTCTTTCTAAATTTGACATCTCGAGGAAGCCAAGCAGGCAGTCTAGACCTCCGTAAGTGGCTCAAATTAACTGTTGAAGGACTAGTGCCAACCCTAACTATTTTTCGACGTAATCTCATGTCGACTAACATTACCCGTCGGGGAAGACGATGGCTCTACATGTGCAACGTGTCTTAGCCATCCCAGTTTATGCAGCTCCATAACCTTATCAGTTAACTTACCCTCAGTTAACTTACTTAAATTGCACTTTGTGTCCAACCTCCATATTACTTACCATAATACACCACCCAAAAAGAGAGACAGAAGGCAGACACCTATGATCAAAGACAGCTAGCCTTTTCATAACTTCCACTTTTGATGGCCGCGTCTTATGCCTATAAAGGATAAAAGGATGAACTGCCACACAATACACGTCCTTTGATCGATAGCCGGATATCACACATCTGTGCCACAGGTGATGTAAATCAGTGAACGCAACACGCTCTGAGACTTCGTCAGCAATCAGTGCATTGGGGCTGATTTAAATTCTCAAATAAGTCAAGAAGTCAACACGCTTTACCACCTCATACCCTATTTTTAAGCTAGTAGTCGTTGCAGTCCAGTCCTGCAGTATCATCTCATATTTGATAAAGGTGAATCTCACGTCAAACACACTAAGATTTCGGTTAAAGATGCTTAGACGACTCTGCAGTTTATCAGCGTTTTCACCTATAGGCTTAATATCATCTGCATAGTATAGTTAGGCAAGAATATATATTCTACACATTAAATTAAGTACACACAGATAAATTTGTCTTTCATGATATTATTATTTATGCGTTAACTAAGAAAACAGATCAGAGTGAGAAGAAGCTGGTAGGAATTTTGTATGAATAAAATGCTAATCGATTGCGACATTCATTTCAGATGTGAGCGTGTTCTCTGAGCTAGGTGGTTCATTTGAGAAGCTTTCATTGTTCTTCTACATAACATCTTCGACGGAAACTACAATATAAAATGGACTTATTTGAATTCGATTTAACTGTATCTCATGACAACCTTTGTCCAGATTAACTGTTAATTTGCATTAGTATTGATCATTTTTTATTGACTTAGAATTTGACTTCTTTTGTTATGTGGCTTAATTGATAAATTTGATCTATAATAATAACGAGTAGGTTGATAGCCAGTTCGTTTGAGTACCAAGGCTTCTAGGAATCTACTGTTTAAAATTTCTACATTCCTTGGTCAATTTGATGTCCATAATTGTCTACATACGCATCGATATGAAGAGATACATGTCGTGTCTTTGAGTTTCTTGCATTCAGAGTCAAAGGAGACTGTCGCTTTGGACAATAAAATGCTTATCATAACAGTTGATGCGATTTACTTCGTAGATCCTGTCTTCTTTTACTCTTGGGTCTTTTAATCTGCATACTATTGAATGAAGTGATGATTGTGTTGGTTTGTGTTAGATAACTATTCCGAATGGTTCTAGTACTTAAGCTATTATTTCAGAAATTTTCCCCATCCTAAGTAGGATAAATTTTCTTATAGTTTTTCAGGACGGTTTCTTACTGTTAGTTTGATTTTAGTTTAAACATTTTGTGATGAATTGTTATTATAATAAAGGTGTCCATTTTTCTTGAGGAAAGTTAATAAATATTTCTCCTAGGGAGAAAAGAAAAGGACTATTTTTTTAAACTGTCTTCGAGAAAAATGGATACTCCAAGAGCAGACATGATATTATTGTCGGGAGTTGATTTATTCATACGAGTTTGACCATGGATTGATATTAGTTAAAAAAAACATTGAGAACTAGGGAGTAATGGACAGCTGTTTCATCCTAGTTTGGGAGTCATCGGCAGTACGCACCCACTGGGGTCTAAACCCAGGACCTTCGGATTGCAAGGTTACCGAGCTGCTCGTACACCATTCAGCCACTGAGATCCAAATTCAGTGGCCAGCCCATGAATTCTAACTCCTGCCAATTCATGTGATTTAGCGTAACCAATGTCATCGGCGGGAAATCCATCCTCACACTTGACTGGATGGACTTCACTGGTCACGACTTCTCACTACATGAAATTTATTAATACTAATGAAGATATAAGTATAAAACTTGGGAACTGTGGTAGAGTATAATTCCATTATAGATAAGATTTTATTTTGATAAATCACACAGTATTACACAGTAATATATACTGATGACCATGTTTCGAGCACAAACTATTGCCACTCATAATCATATCAAGTCACTACTCACACAACTTTTTCCCTTCATTTATATAATGTGTGGAATCGATTAGATATTTGGATAAAAATCAATATGTGATAATGTACATTCAGAAATAATAATATGAGTGTTATTGATCAATTACAATCAGATGGGAAATAAGGCGAGTGTACTTATAGTCATAATAAGTTACTTGTTAGAATGTTGTGATGTGTTTGAATTGAAATAGAATTTTGAGATTACTTGTTATCCTCTTCTGATTTGACTGGCGATAATGATATCTTCCATATTTCTGGTATTTGCATTGAGTCATTTCTATTGTATGTGTTGTATCGGGTGTAGATTCACTCAGTGAACCAGGATTCAGTAATCAATCTGTCTCTCCACTTACCTAGATTACTTCTTAGAATCTCAACTCTCTCCCACCTTATTGTGTGGTTATGTGTTAATGCATGCATGTAGTGCAAATGCTGAGCTTTATTCTAAATTACTTATCTTATCGGGGTCAACCATTCTTATCTTAGCTAAATTCTTATGTTCTGACAATCTGGTTACCCCCGATCTACTAGTTTGACCTAACTCACAGTCATTGCAGGGTATTTTGTAAATTATATTATTTCGTTTTATTGGGTCCACCGGTCTTTTAGCCTACAGAGTTTGTCTCGGAGTGAGTTTGTAGGTTTGAATGCCACCCTAATTCCTGCTTTATTAAGAATCCTATGTAGGGTCTCAGATGTCCCCTCCTTATATGGTATAACAGTAGATAACTTATATTCTTTCTTATTTATGTCATCATTATTAGTTTCACAATTATTTTTATTTTGCTTTTGGCCTTTTTCGATCTTCCTAATGTATTTTATGGGATAGTTACTTAACACCAACGCCTGTTCTATCTGTTTTATTTCATCATTTAGGTCTTTTTTGTGCTACTTAGTTCTACTGCTCGGTTTGTTAAACACTTAACTAAGCCTGCCTTAACAGTTAACGGATGAGATGAATTAAAGTCTAAATATCTATTAGAATATGTTGGTTTTTTATAAACGCTAGTGTGTAGTTTACCTTCTTCTATTCATTTTATTTTACAATCTAACATAGCTAATTCTCCTTGTTCACTTTCCGATTCAAATGTGAATTTTATTCCCTGTACTAGTGAGCTTATGTGTGTCAAGAAGCTAGATATATGTTCTGTTTTTAACACTGTGAAAGTGTCATCCACATATCTCAACTATATTTTTGGAGTAGGATTAAATGTATTAAGAGCAATATTTTCCCAGTTAAGAATCCCACGTAAGGTCTCAGATGTCCCCTCCTAATATGTTATTATGACTATTAAAATACTCGTCTTATTTCCCATCTGATTGTAATTGATCAGTAACACTCATATTATTATTTCTGAAAGTACATTATCTCATATTGATTTTTATTCGAATATCTAATCGATTCCATACATGTATATAAATGAAGGAAAAAGTTGTGTGAGTAGTGACTTGATATGATTATGAGTGGCAATAATTTGTGCTCGAAACGTCACCAGTGAATATTACCGTGTGATTTATCAAAATAAAATCTTATCTATAATGGAATAATACTAATAAAGAACATTTTCAAGTGAAGAATGAGTCAAAAAGACATAAAATCGAATTCCAATAACCGAAAAATAGAAAAGTTTGTACGACTGAAAATAAGGAGAGGTGAAATATCTTTTGGTTTTTTTTCTTATCTATTTGTTTGTTTATTTTATCCATTAATCTCTTTTGAATTTATCAACGCTGGCTGATATTTTATTTTCTGCTGTGAGTTTTTCTCTGAAATCTTTTGGTGTTATCCAAGCCATTGATTGTTCTGTACACTTGAGAGGTTCGTTATTCACATAATTAATCGTTTGATTCTTTTCCAAACGGTAATGAAAACAGTGATATCACGCTGGAGACTGTCTTAATAAAGATAGCAACACTCGTAAAATAATTCTGCCTTAATATTCATATTTAAATTTTCAAGCATCGGTTTTGTTGGGATTCATTTCATGAAATCCTCCATCCAATCAAACAAAATCCCTATAAAACCAATACTTAAAAATTAATCTGATGCTCACTGGAGACTGGCCCTGTTCACGCAGTGACCTGGGGTTCTAGTGGGAAGCCATCACCAGTAGGGTATAGCAGGTTGAAGATGAGGCAGTAACTCGTCGAAGAAGACACTGCGAAATGGTCGCGCTATGTCGTGAATTGGCAGAAGTTAGAATTCGTGGGCTGGCCATTCGATCGGGTCCCAGCGGCTGTATGGTCTACGAGCTCGCCTTGTAACCAGAAGGTCCTGGGTTCGAACCCTGGCGATGGGTGTGTACTGTTGAAGAGTCCCAAACTAGGACGAAACAGCTCCACAGTACTCCCTATAGGTTTTCCAGTGGTTCTCTAACTGACTTCAGCTCATGATGAAATCCTCCATCTAATCATACTTAGATTGTGAGCTACAAGTATTCAAATATTATTTCAAGAGAAGTACCTCTCAAAGCATAAGTTGTCTGCTTAAATCACTGGGCTACCGGTGTTGGTTTTCACCAAAATGCTTAATCTCATTTGGATTTATCGTTGTTTTGATAGTCCAGTTATATTAAATAATCTACACATGAACTTGCACGCTAATTCAATTTGCATCCAAGTAAACACTGTGAAATTCTTCAACGAAATGGAGATATACTTCAGCTTATTACGTAAATCCTGTATGAAGAAAAATGTATTTTGGAACTAAGTACGCTGAAAATTTCTGTACCATATGTTCACATGCTGTCTGACATAAAGCTTTATTATTAGTATTCTTTTTATTATTCCTAAAAGTCTATCAACTATCTTGAAAGTCGAATTTATTTTCTCCGCCTAAACAATGACAGCAAAGCTTACTTTTACCGTGTTATATATACTTTTTGTTATTGACCTACTAATTTCACATGCATGACTATATCTTGAAAATTTTACGCATTCTATTTATAATGAGTAACCACTAAACTAGTATGTATTGGCAGCTTTGTGTAGTAACACTTTGAATATACCTACATACATACATACAAATGGATGATAATAATAATAATAAATCGAAGAAAGTAACAACACACGACTGAATCACAGTGAAACCATACTACTCTACTAGAGTTAGTAAATACAGTAAGTAAGCAAATAAATAATTATAAAAATTTTCACACTACACAAAGCCAAATTAAATTATTTTTAAAAGAATTACTGTCTATGTACACTACCGATCGATCGATCGATCGGTGCATATGTTAGTTAAAGCAACCGACACTTCTATAAATTAAATGTAACAATTACAATAAACTGCGAGATTGTAGGCGCTCGATTTCCAACTAACTGGTCACGGGGTTAGAACTCCACTCCTATCTACCGAGTCTTCGGCAAATAGGTAAGCAACATTATTAGCCTTCACCCACACGATAGATATGGCTTACAGCCAATTGCATGGAGATGCAAGTAGTTGTTGATTGGTGTTAAAGCATTTAGAAAATCTTTTTTAAAAGCATCTTGAAGACAGTGAACTGAATAAAGAAGGTACAGATGTGGTGAGAGCAAGCTGCTAGCCGAATTGGTGGACAATAATTTACGTCAATGCTTATGTTACTAATATTGGTCGTGAGAAAATATGAACAAAGACTGATTCAACAACCAACCACAGAAGACTTCGCGTAGGCGGATACAATTAGCAGATAGATGATCTGACATTCAAGAAACAGTCACAAGGAGATGCAAGGTTAACTTTCTGTGAGAAACAACCAATCAGAAGACTGTGTTTGTTTGCTTGAATAACCTATAATAATGTACATGAAAATATATGAATACGTGTTAATTTCTTTAATAAACGATCTGTTGCCTGGCCCTTGTCTTCTGTTGTTACACAGAAAGGATAGTATTCTGACAGTATAAGAGATTGCCTATAGTTGAAGATGACAACTATGATTCAAATGACGTGATATGAACATCAGAAGGATCAAAAAAGCAGGCCAGTTTCTCCTTCTACATAGAAAACAGGTAGCCCATATACGCTGAACACGAAAAGACTTTAAAAATTTCAGCCAACTAACGAGTCATTGGAGCCTAGAATGCTTCATCATTTGCGAGAAGTCAATTATACGTTCCACTTTGGTAAGTTTCTTACCACAAACACATGGGTTTTTCACAAAGTTGAACTATCTGTTGAGTGGCCGTAGTTCCCTCAGTTCGTCTTTCGGACGAAATGTTTCCACACCATTGGAGGCCCATTTCATCAACCTTGTGCATATACAATTCATCGATCTAGTGCGATCGACTAGATGACAGTAAATTATTATTCCAAACAAGAAGAAGCATAGCACGATCTACAGAAGACCAATAACTAAGCCTGTTCACAATACCTTCGAAAATACCATCTGAAGGCGATCATTAAGTTTTAGTAGAAATACAAATTACAAGACTCGATCAAAGGTTGTTATATCTCGAAATTTTCTGGTAAGGCTAACAGGTCCTATTTACTTTGGAACACCATAACTGGATGCTTTTAGGGTAAGAGAGAGAGCATGTACTTGTAAAAGGCCGCTTGAAACTTATTACGAACATTCACTGAACCAAAGAAGATAAAATAGCCATATTTACTACTGTCAATCAAAAGTGAATCTTTTTACTTTAGACAGAAACACCAACCTCTTTGATTATGGTTAGAATACATGAAAGTTTATGATGTTCGAAGTGAATACAGGAGACAAATAAGGCTGTTTATTATCACCGACGATGGTATTCCTAATTGTTGTGTATTGGATTAGGCGGAGGACTATGGACTGTGAGAAGACAAGAATACATTGGACCGGTAAGGCGAGATACTCCTTCATCAACCTGAAACAAGTATGGAAATCTTGTGCAATAACCCATCAGAAAGAAAAACATTCGGATTTTCAACACAAATGTGAAGTCAGTCAGTCAGTTCTTCTATACGGGTCAGAAATATGGTCAGCGCGTCACAAAAATCATTTCCAACAAGCCACAGACGTTTGTCAATGGTTGTCTACTTCGCTGACTCCATACTGAAGATCAAATGGCCGGCCGGTTGGCCAGAAAGAATTAGCAACAAGAAACTCTAGCGATGAACAAACTAACCATGAGCCGATCTTTCAACAAATATGTAAGAGAAAATGGAGATGGGTTGGACATACATTGAGGAGGCCGTTGAATAACATCGCGCTCAATGCAGGCCATTGGTTGAGTGGAATCCCAATGGGAAGTGACGAGTGGTTGTCAGCGCGAGGGTGACATGGAGACCACTTAGGGAGGAGGAGATAAGAGATTATGGACAACAGTGGACTCAGATAAAGAGGACAGCATAAAATAGAAGAAAGTGGAGATATATTATTGAAGGCCTATGTTCCACTCGAAACCGAATGGTCTGTCTGTCTGTTTTCGACATAGAACTTTCCACTGATGTGCACCAGCTCAAGTCGCCACACTCCAATCCTTGTAGCACACAAAGCAAGAGAAAAAAAGTAGAAGAAATGCATAATAGAGACAGTAAACAGAGGTGTGAGATAAAGGAATAGTAATAACGAAGAACGGTATAGTTTCATTGGAAATCATAAGTAACACACAAGGAGTGGATGCATCTGCGCCAACCAACCATTGAGAACGATCACTTTGAGCCATACCCCCAATTGTTTCCAACCATTGGTTTTTACCGTCCCGAGGACCCCAACCAGGAAGCCAGTCTACACCTTCCTACGTGACTGGCTTAAACTAACTGTTATGGATTTTCCTGACTGGTGCCATGTTTTGGTGTGACCGCCGCTAGATCTTTTCCAGCCTGACCCTATGTCAGCTAACATTGCCCGTCGAGTGGGGAGCGATGATCAGACATACGTAACAAATGTCCTAACCATCTCAGTTGATGAATTTTCACAGCCTCGTCGATTGATTTCCCCTCATTACCTAGCAATCACCTCAATGAACCCAATGGAATAATAATTATGTATTGTTACCTTTTTGGACTGAAATGGAAATCCCAAAATGTTAATTCTAAAATCAGTATACATTTAAAGTATTCATATGAGTTGTTTACTTAACAGACTGATGGCAGTGTGTGTGTGTGTGGATTGTCTCTCATTGACTGAAGCACAGAATTACTAACTAAACAGTGGAATCAACCAAAAGAATTAGGAATCAATTTCCAGCGTTGTATATTTACTTACACTCACTACATAAATAGCGTTAAGTATGACAAAACAAAACAAAAAAAACTAATCTTGGGAATGCATACATTTACACTTGTGTGTTTTATTCTGTTTGACTGACTAGCATTTTCAAATTTTAGAACAACTAAAAGAGTCATTCGTTCTACTGAATCGAAAGTTCAAAGTTGTTAGGAAGACTAGCAAACAGTAGAATGAAAATACCCTAAATTAGGTAACTTTACACTTTTAAAATGAAATGAAATTACCAAAATACGTTTTGTTTTGTGATATAGGTTTCTTTACTGTTAGATTACAGTGTGACATAAAAATTGGTTGGCTTGTAGTATATAAAATGGTTAATACTTTTTTCTAGTCTGGGTTCAAATTTCTTTCTAGGTGAAAGCACTGTAAATTCTGCACCGTAAATATGACCCAAAGTACACTACTACACAAAAAAGATATTATTATTTAAATAAATTATAATTAATTAGCTATAATGAGTGACATCCATTAAAAGATGGCAAAAAAAAGCATATCCATCTTTATCTACACAGACAAAACTTACTCACCTGTCCATAATTTTGAATCATATGTAACGCGGGCTTTTATAAACAACTTTTGGATTTCATCTTTTACTTCACTCCACAAACGATGAGTATCGTCTGTATTACTAATCATCTGGTCATATACAGGTGAATCTGTATGCAATGCACAAGACAACATATCAAAAGTAGCATACAGACAAGCCAGCCAAAGACCACCGGTATAAGCGCTAAAAAGCAACAAAAGAGAAACAAAAACCCAACTCCATTATAGATGTCATCATCATAATAGTGAGACTGCATAAGTAGATCATAATTTACAGGATTTCATTATGACAGGGATGTCCACTTTCCCCATTTCTGTCTAACTTCATCATAGATATGCTAACGGAAGTATCCTTAACTGAACGTAGTGACTTAGGAATCGACTTATTACCAGGGAATAATCTAATGGACTTAGAATATGCAGATGACATAGTCCTGTTAGGGGAGGATGCTGAAAAAATGCAGAGTCTTCTGAACACCTTGAGCAGCAATCTTCGTATGTTTGGCATGCGATTCGCCCCTGCAAAATGTAAGATGCTGCTACAGGACTGGACGACGTCAACCCCTAACTTAGCGATAGGGAGTGAAGTGATAGAACATGTTGACCACTTCACCTACTTGGGAAGTTGTATTAGCACCAACGGACTGATTGGCGATGAAATCTCAGCACGGATCCGAAAAGCTCGAGCTGCTTTCGCTGACTTACACCATCTCTGGCGTAGGCGTGACATCCGGTTATCAACCAAGGGACGTGTGTACTGCTCATCAGTTCGCTCCGTCCTTCTCTATGGCTCTGAAACATGGCCAATACGAGTTGAAGACATGAAAAGGTTGACTGCTTTCGATCATAGATGTCTGCGATCTCTGTCTCACGTTAGGTGGTTTCACAAGATAAGTAATGTTGACGTTAGGCGTAGAGTGTTGGGCAAAGAGGGAAAATCAATCGACGAGGTTATAAAGTTACATAGACTAAGATGGCTAGGTCACGTGGTGCGCATGCCTAACCACCGCCTCCCCCGACGGGCATTGTTAGCTGATATAGGTTCAGGTTGGAAAAGAGCCAGTGGTGGCCAAACAAAAACATGGCCTCATCAATCCATGAAATCCTTGACAGTTAAACTGAGTCAGGTAGGGAGATGCAGACTCCCGGGTTGGGGCCCTCGGGACTCTAGGAATCAATGGCTGGAGACAATAGGTGACATGGCTCAAAATCGTTGTCAATGGCCAGCGCAGATGTATTCAGTCTCTGTAATCTTTCATATTCCTTTCTACCATTACCCATTCTGTTTCACTCTTATATTTGTCAAACTCTATTAATTTTCTTCACTCATCTTCTTGTCTACCTCTGTGTGCTATTTGGAACGTGGCAACTCGAACTGCTGCACTTCGGTGCCAAGTTCTATGTTGAATCCAGACAGAGAGAGACAGACATTATGACCTGACATCAGTTAGAGAACCACTAGAAAACCTGGGAGTACTGGAGAGCTGTTTCGTCTGAGTTTGCGACTTGCCCTATTCAGGTAGGTAGTTACCTGGGTTTCTTGTGAGAAGTCGTGACCAGTAGGGTGCAGCTGGTCGGGTGTGAGGACAAATATTCGCCGAAGACATTGGCTAGGGGTCGCGTTATGTCGTGAACTGGCAGAAGTTAGAATTCATGGGCCAATGAATCGAGTCCCAGTGGCTGAATGGTACAAGAGCTCGCCTTGTAACCAGAACGTCCTGAGTTCGAATCTCAGTGGGTGCGTACTGATGAGGAGTCCCAAACTAGGACGAAACGGCCGTCCAGTGCCCCCAGGTTTTCCAGTGGTTCTCTAACTAATGTCAGCTGATGATGAAATCCTGTAGCCAATCAAATCCCTACATACCAACACTTGGATTATAATTCTTATCTTGATAAAGAGCTCAAGATTCATTTAAAAGTCCAATAGTTTTTCATTAAAACCATCAATATTACCACTTTAGAACCTAGTAATCAACCCCCTTGAAAAGAACACCTAGTTAGTTTCAGCGACACAACCACTGGAACCTGGGAGGGGACTTTAGTAAACTGTTCAGATAATACTAAATTCAAGTCCCGTTTCAATTCCTTTTACTCTTCATAATAAAACTTAAAAAACCAAGAAAATTAATTACTAGTTTACAACTGTTGCAGTGAGTAAAGTAACAATCAAATAGTATTTCAACCTTGATTAAAATTGTGTGAAAATTGATACACGGAAAAACTAGATAAGTTATGTGAAAAAAAGATTATTAAGTTTTCACCAGGAAGGTATGCTTTTGACGTACAAACCTCACGTTCTCAAAGCGCTTTTACTGCATATACCAAATCAAATTTTACAAACGTTTTATACTACTTATAAAAGTGATTAAGTAGGCTATATAATAATCACCTCTTAGTATATTGGGTAAACTCACTAATGAAGTATACATTTCCGTACTAAACTTATTCACACTCCAGTGTAGCAGTACTACAGTACATTTCAAAAAATGCAGGAATGGGTTGTATGCAGATTAAGTTTGTAGACATCCGAACGCGGTTTAGATCAATAAGTGATGATTATTTAGATTGCCAGAACATCTTTATTTTTTTTTTGATTTACAGCTTGATTCCACACTGTATTTTTAGTACAAGTATGGAATTTTCAGCGTGGATATCGGTAGCCCAAATTTTGCAGGCCGACCATAGATATCAGGTGTGCGCCGATGTGGGCTCGAACCCCAGGAACGTGTGCATGGTCGGTGAGAGTCCTTACCAATGTGCCACCGACGCACAAAGTGCGCGATGAGCAGACACTGACTTCCACCGCACACGCATACACACGAGGACGCCCGACGTGGGGCTAGAACCCACGACCCTGAGATTAAGAGTCTCATGCTCTACCGACTGAGCTAGCCGGGCCCGATCAATTTTTTTAGCCTAAATCTAACGCATATAAACTCGTTATTCAAAAAAATTGAAGCTCAGTGTTCTGGTGAGATCATCTCTAACTTTATACCAACGTAACTCTAACTCAGAAAACATCTCCAATCTATGAGAACGGAAGGTTGGAATGCGTGAGACGTGTCCAGGCAACATCACGCAATATGGATTTGTAGTTCCTTCAAATAACATAGATCTCCACATAGTTTAGTGGTCCTGCGAATTTCGGAAGAATAGGTCAGTTAACCGTGCTTGTTGTCGTGTTTCCAAGCCACGGAATAGGAATTAATGCACTGATAGATATACACTTGTGGAGTTCGGAACAATATGATCATACAGTATTTTGTTCGATGTTAATAATGGAAACATTGTACATAACTTCTATTTAAAATGAACTCATGGTAAAATATACACAACATCCGAGTGTAATCGAAAATACAGCGTACTACTTCACTTCACTTCATCTTCTCACTAGTACATACTGTCTGCTTGTTTCACTACTAACCGTGATGCATCCTTTCGATCTTTGCAGGAATCTCTAATACTTATTCTGCAAACGCTGCACAGATTCTACTAGTAGATACAATCCCAGCAGTGAACGTTTCTGTGAATTATATTAATAATTCGTAGCAGTGGTCTCTAACTGTATCACCAAGTAACCATCAATTTATATAACTGGCTACCTGTGCTACTTATAATACACTGTTACAATATTCTCTCGTTAACTTGGAGTTTTACTCCAATATTTTGTACCAACCAAGTTAAACTTTATGCACCACTAACTACCAGTGGAGTGCGACCGCATCAACGACCTTGAAACGCCCACTGAGAAAGTCAGTCAAACTTGTAAAATAATGTTGTCATCATCAATGAAATATACTCATAGAAGTGTCATGTTATTAAATGGGATATCTGGAAAGTTTCAGGTCAGGTTTGAGAGAGATTAAGTTACGGTTTAAGCTAAGGCCAAGTTAGGGTTAGGTTAATCTAATAAAGGCGGAATTAGGGTTGACGTGAGTTAGATTACAGTTAGTTCAGGGATATTTTCACGTTAGGATCAGGTTCAGGAAAGATCAGGGTTATTGTTAGGGTTAGAAGACCTAAGTAATTACATGCATAGAATGTGGTTAAATTACTCTGTTCATATAATAATAGAACTTGTTCACTGTGGCAGAGTATAATTCCATTGTGGGTAAAATTTATTGTGATAATGCATCACAGTGTTATACAGTAATATTTACTGATGACCACATTTCGAGCACAGTTTATTGGTCAGTAAATATTACTGTATTACACCATGAAACTTTATCAAAATAACTTTTACCCACAATGGAATTATACTTTGTTAATACTCCAACCTCAAACAGAGCTACTTTTGTCAAATGTGAGAGAAAGGTAACCTCTGTAACACTTTTATACAGTTTTTATCCATTTTTCTTTTTCATACATATATGTACACTGTAGACACAAATAAATCCTTCATGTGATTGGTGCGTTCGAGGTCATTCGCTGATTGGTAGTTAGTGGTAAAGTTTAACTTTGCCTACAAGTAAAGTTGAAATGTTAATTAGGATAAGGAGTCAGTAACGACAAATCGAGTAATTTTGCCAAGTGTCTGGTGAATGCGATTAGGAAAGCATATCGACACAAAACGACTTACAATATGCAAGATCTACATAATGTGTGATAAAGCAGCAGAATGTTTGTATGATAAATATATGATTAACACCATTAGCATAGATCTGTAAGTGAACGAACATCAGCTTCTTGTAGGCCGATCTCTTCAAGATTTTTTATCGAAAACAGTATCGTAGGCTGACTGTCTCCCTCAAAGTTGAACCCTATCTCTGGACAGCATCTTCTAAATGTATATGATTTATAAACGAAATCACATTTATCCTAAAAACTGTAAAAACAATGTCGTCCACATATATTTCATGGGACTGAAAAATTGCGATTGCTGATTTCAGCTGATCACTTTACGGACTTGTCATTATTCAGTCTTTAGGCAGTGGGACTAATCACCATTCTATTGTTATTATAACTTCATGCGGGGCAAGATTCAATAAAACAGGTTATTTTACCCGATGGGTATTTGTTCATGCGAGTGCGAAAAGTTTCTCGCATACCGCGTGCAAGAACTTCCTTATGGTCCACTTCCATTTCGGGACTTCTGTGTTTCTATGCATCCATAAAAAATTAACTGAACATATGCCAGCAATCTGAAATTGTCATCTTCAAGTACGGTTTGTCACGCAGACGCAA